AGAATATACACATAAGAAAATATGTGTAACAAACTAATAGGATAAAAACCTCATATTAAAAAATATATAAAGTGTGATTTAGAAAGATGAAAGAATTTAGATAAGGATTTATCTATTCACTTCCTAGATATAAATCATACAGCCAGAAAGCCAAAAGAGGGAGAACCAACTGGCTCCACCTAAGAGCTTATTTATAACTGTTTCAGAAACTGGCACTGTTAATACCTAACAAAAGAAAGTGAACTGAAAAAGATAAAGCAAGGGACTAACCCACAAAAAATAGCCAGATTTTCACCTGCTTCTCAGTAAGACCTGCTTATTATTACCATAGGACACTAAGATGCATTTATGTTGGTACTTTCTTATCTTATTAGAATGTAACAACAAAGGTTTACATAAAGCTACCTAACTCAACTAAGGAAGATTGTCACTCAACAAAGGAAGTGATGAGATACCAGCAACTCTAACTTCAGTAAGGGTGAAATCAGTGTAGCTTATAACTGATGATAAAGGACATTTAAATAACATAACCCTTTAAGCACCTGTCAAATTTGTTTATGAAAAGCTGTGGGGGACATTATCACTCATTCTAATCATTTATCCAATAGTTAAACAAATAACAAAAAGCTCTTTACTGCATTCAAGAGAAAAGAGCATTTTAAAGCTGATACCAAAAGGATCAGGTAAAAATGACTTTTCATTCTCTTATGGAACTAATGAGTCAGATAAAGAAAGCAAGTGAGAATCTTATGAGGTTAATAATGCTTTCTCTCTCAATACTTGTCTTACTCCAGACTGAGACTAAATAGAGAACTGGTATCTGAAATTTACTTTAAAACACTTCAACACAGTAGTTGTTTAGCACCAATAGTGGTGGTGGTAGTATGTCAGAGCCAGCAGTGGGACTGTGTGAGTCGGCATCTGGCCTTGTGAGAAAGCCAGATGTCCAGAAAAACAGTATTCAAGGTTCCCAGATGGCTTCATGTCCTTCAGATGTAAATAAGAAAGTTATGCTGACTGTGTTTCTCCTGCTTCTCTGTTCCCATTTTAAAGGAGACATAAAAAAGAGTTAATTTTAACTGTGCTTCCCTGTACTAATGTAACCTTGACATATAATACTTGGCATGCTTTTTCTGACCAAATGCTCTCTGTGTAAAAGGAGTTTATAAAAGCAGTAGTATGCTTCATTAAAATGGCTACTGAGCAGGACGAAGTAGTCCCCCCATCTTTTACGGCTTAGGTCACCCAGCTTCCACCAGTAAACGGCTTACAGTAGTACAGTATTTTGACTGTGGTTACAGATTAGAAACACCTGTTAAGCTCCTACAACTCCCAAAAGCCAGTATGTACTTCAAATCAGTTAAGTCAGAAGCTCAGAAATCAATAATTTTAAAAGCTCCTTAGATGATTCCATGTCCACAAATGATTGAGAACCATTATTATGAGCAGTCAATTGTTCTAATTACAAATTCACCTTCCAAAATTAATCAGCTAGCATTTAATTAGGAAAGTCATATTTAGAGATGACTGCTGTAAGATTTATGTTATATTAATCTTTGATGAACACGAAGTTTTTTTTTTGCAGAGGGGAAGCACTGGGGTTTGAACTCAGGACCTCATGCTTACAAGGTGGGCACTCTACCACTTGAGTCACTCCACCAGCCTTTTTTTGTGCTGGTCTTTTTCAAGATAGGGTCTTGCCAACTATTTGCCCTGGCTGGCTTTAAATCTTGATTATTCTCATCTCTGCCTCCAGAGTAGCTGGAGCCACCAGCAACTGGTTTAAGATTTTCTTGATTATCAAAATAAAGTGGAATTTCATTTATAAAGCTAGTGGCTTATTAAATAACAAAGTGGGATTTCATTGGTGAAATTCATAGCATTCCAATTATATGGATCGATTAAATAAATTTAGACACAAATTCTATCCTTGTATAAGGGAAAGAGAAAACTGAGGAGACAGATCCTTGTAGGTGGCACCTTAGGTTTAATCTCTGGACATCTGGACAATCAGGGACAACATCTTGTCTGTGGAATATTATTTTATCTGCCAAGGATGACCATGTTATGTAACACCAGAGAACCAGAGCTTCATCACATTTAAAGAACATGCTTTCTTTATATGGGAACAATTTTATGCCTGCTGGCTCACTGTTGCCTACTTATAGCAGAATCTGCATACCTATCAAAGTAACTACCAAAACACTTACTAAAAGACCAAGAGGTTATGATATGTAAATTGGCTTTGAATAATTTGTAATAATCAAAATGATTAGAAATTTAAAACATCAGAAACAAAATAATTACATACCCCAAGAAGGTTTTTGGACTAATGTAAGAAATCAATTAATTTTTATCAAAAGAAAACAGGCAGATGCTGACAAGAATAGCTTATAAAACAGGAGGGAGTGCTTGAACCCTAACATCCAAGGTTTTTACATTGTTCAAAATGAGGGTAAAAGATATTTATTGACTTTAGACTTTTGTATGTTAAACATATGTATTAAATTTTTTAGAATAACCACAAAAGGAAGAGTAGGAGACTAGCTTCCAGGCTAATAAGGGAAAATGAGATAAGAAAATAAAATCTAAAAGAAGACATGAAAGAAATAAAGTTTCCTGTGTTTAAAACTTAGGAACTATGCCAGGCACCAGGTTCTTAACACCTGTAATCCTATCTTATTGAGAGGCTGAGACTGGGTGAGTCACAGTTTGAGGCAAGCCAGGCAAAAAGTATGAGACCCTATCCCAATAGCTCTGCACAGTGCCCAATAGCTGGGTACAGTGGAATGAGCCTGTCATCTCAGCCATGTGAGAAGTGTAACATTGGAGGGACTGCATCCAGGACAACCTGGGCAAAAACTGAGACCCTATTTAAAAAATAACTAAAGCAAAAAGGGCTGGAGATGTGGTTCAAGTGACCTGCCTGGCAAGTGTGAAGCCTTGAGTTCAAACCTAAGTACCATGAAAAAAAAAAAAAAGTTAAAGAAATGCACTTCTAAATAACTAATGGAGTGCACGCTCGTGCACACACACACACACACACACACACACACACACAAAATCACAGAAAGAAAATGATAAAACATTGCAAGCTAAAACTTGTGGGAGACTATTTAAAGTTTGCAAACTCAAATTCTATAAGAAAAGAAGGCTGATAATGCAATAAGCAACTGACGAGAAACTAAAAAAACAAACAAACACAAAGAATGCAGACGAGAACAAAACTGTGATATGAAGAGAAAGGGGAAAAGCATAAAAGGAAAACTGATTTTACCACTAATAGCCAAGTGGCTATTAGTCAGTTTTCACTCTCAATATCTATCATTTACTTTCCAAAGGAAAGATCAAATTGCTTCTAAATATAATCTTTAATTGATATGAAGGCTATTATACAAGTACAGTTACATGTGTTCATATATATGCACATATCTATTGTGCATATAAATATGTATAAGAACAACAGAAGGGTAAGGGTTATGGTACACAGGGTATAAAAAACAAAAAGTTTTTAAAAAGAGATGGTTCTTTGAAAAGACCATCCTTGAAATTGACCATTTTTTGGCAAGAATGATGAAGTACAAATAAACAATCTTAAGAATGAGAAGGGGGCAATGCCTACATATACTACAGATATTAAGAGGTAGTAACAGACACTATGAATACTAATTTGAAAATAAACATGAAATGGAAAATTTTCTAGAAAAAATTACTCCAATAAAACTATTAATAGAAAATCTGAATACTATCCTAATCATTAGATTTTTTTAATAAGTAGTACAAAATGACCCTTCAAAAAGAATTCTAGAACCCAGGTAAGTTTTACTAGTAAGAACTGATCAATAATATACTGATTTAAATATGAGGCAAAACTTTATAAGGGTAAATATTAAATACAACCAACAAATATTACATGCAACCAACAAAAGACTGATACTCAGAATAGATGAAGGCCTCTTACAAATCAGTGAAAAGGATAATCCAATATAAAAACGAGCAAAAATCCTACATGGGCAATTCACAAATTATGAAACCTGAATTATCAATAAATATATCCCACCTTATTAGTAAACAGGAAAATGCATATTAAAATCACAATGAGATACCATTTCAAAACCAAACAATTGATAAAGACAAAACTACCAAGTATTTTTGAGAATACAGATCAATTAAAAACTGCTATGAATTGCTTTTGAAAATGGAAATTATACAAATACTGGAAAAAAAATATATTTTTTCCATATATGCATACATATATATCCTATTTTAGCTAGTAATAACCTGAAAACAATTCAACAGCAATCAAAAGTGAGAAAAACTGTAGAATACTTATAAAATAGAAAACTTTAGATCAGTGAAAGTAAATAATGCCTCAGGAATATAATGCTAAGCAAAAATGAAAGTTGAAGACTGCTTGAATTGTGAACCCAATAGGTAAAAGTTTAAAATATGCAAAGTAAATAATATATTGATTTAAATATAAGGCAAAAGTTTATAAGGATAAATATTAAATTCAGGATTGTAGTTACTTCTGAGGAGAGATGACAAAATCAAGAAAAGTCACACATGGGCATCAAATATAATATTATTTTCAAATACCTACTAATATTTAAAACAAGTATTTAAAAACAGGTCAATGTGTAGTATGTTGAATATAATATTCTTTCATAGGAATCTTTAGACTTAAAAGACAGTATCAATGAATAAAATCATTTATAAAATACATCTATAAGAATGTGTTTTGAGCTGGTGAAGTGGTTAGAATTATAGAACGCCTGCCTAACAAGCGTGTGGCCCTGAGTTCAAACTTCAACACCACAAAAAAAAAAGAATGTGTTCTGAAATACTAGTAAGTATCATGAAATTCCCTGTAATTGTGAACCTAAAATCAACCAAAAGGATAAAAATCTACAGGAAGAAAGAGCTCTCTTTGAGCATGAGCTACGCTTGTAACAAAAGTAACATCTAATTCATAGTAATAACAAGCAGTTATTACCTACCTTTATTGGTGAAATATGAGAATGAGAAACAAATCCATGGACATTCTCAATCTCTGACAGGTTCTTTTCTGAGACATGAACCAATTCTGGAGCTATCACCTCATTAGTGATTTGTGGGGAAATGTGCTCCTGAGGAGGTGTGTCTTCATCCTGATACCGGTATTTCTGTAAGTAAATTATTAAACATGAAAAAGTCCTAAAAGGCAAAGTGAGTTTAATTCAAATCATGGTTTTCATAAATTACTCACCAATACTCAATATAAACAATACCAAAGTGTATATTATGGTATAATACATCAAATCTAAGAAAAATAGGACTCCACTTTAGAAGTCATTCCAATAATTTAATGGAAATTATTTCATTTAATTATTAAAAATAATTTAAAGCTAAATCAAGCAGAAGCCTAAATAATGATTTGCACACTTCTTACACAATGTTAACTGAAATCATACATCTCTAAAACACAGCTGTTTAAATGCAATCAGCATGAAAAGATACTTATTTAGCTTAATATTCTAATTTTGAAATGGGCAAAGAATTTAAGCATTTTTTCAAAGATACACAAATGGCCAGTAAGTATATGAAAATATAAGATATCACCAGTCATTACAGAAATGGAAAACAAAAGTACTATAGGATCTTATTTCACATCTAACAGGATAGCTACAATTTTAAAAAAACCGACAATAATGTGTTGGAAAAGATGTATAAAAACAAAAAACAATTTAACAGTTCAAAAGGTTATAATAATTCAAATGGAAGAGTGCCTGCATAGCAGGCAGGGCCCTGAATTCAAACCCCAGTACCACCAAAAAAAAAAAAAAAAAAAGTTATAAGGAGTTACCATATGATTTGGCAATTTTGCTTGTTGGTGTAAATACACAAAGGAACTGAAATTATACACACACAAAAACTTGTGCACTATTTCGTAATAGCCCTAAAGTGGAAACAACTCAAGTGTCCATCAATTTATTAGTAATACTCTCCCTGTCACAGAACAGCAGTGTGTACCCATCTGTAGAAATGTTGTGAAAGTGATGGGTAACAGTGGGTTAGGAAAGGTATATATGGGTATTAATACTGTGTATAAGGATTTTAATTTTAAAATAGTATGCAAACTCATTTCTTACATAATGATATAAGCTATTATAAATAGAAAAAAGTTAAAATCCAATGATAGTAGTAAGTCTAGTCACAACTTTTACATCATTTTAAATGCTAAATTATAATTATAAGGAATGGAAACCTTAATTTTTTAATGACCGGAGCTATAAAAATCTGACAGGCTTCTGAACTCTGTAGGTATAAAAAGAATTTGTCTAGAAGGGTCTGTGGTATGGTCCCATTTTCAAAAATCTAACTCATCTGAATATTTCCTGTTATTACTATCTTTTCTCCTTTGCTGTTTATTGAAAACCTATCTTTTATTCAATGACACTGATTAGAACGCAACTTTTATCAAATAGCATTAAACTGCTATAAACATAAGGTCTCAGTTTTCTTCATTTTATTGATCTCTGTTCTTGCACCAGTAACGTATTAACCATTAGAGTTTCATAATAGGTTTTAAAAGTTGCTAAAAGATACTTTACCCTCATTTTTAGACTTTTTCTTGCTGGATTTTACATGAACTTTAGTTACGTGTTCTGATAATTGAGTAAATAAATATTTAAACAAATGAATAAATTTCCTTTTGGCCTTTTTTAGAATCATGTTAAAGATAAATATACAGTTGTCTTACAATTCTTGTTTTTATTTCTGCAGCTGCATATAAAACCACTATTAAGAATAAAACCAATAGTGTTTCGTATACTTTTCTTGGGGCGGGACGGAGGTGGGGAGACAATGACTGACTTTTTTTTTTTCTTTTATTCTTCTTTGCAGTACTAAAGTTTGAACTCAGGACCTCGAGCATGCTAGGCAGGCACTCTACTACTTGAGCCACTCCACCAGCACTGTTGTTTTCTTGATGACGCCATTCTGACTGCTGAGATAGAATATAAATGTTTTGATTACATTTCCTCTGTGGTCAATGGCACTTTTCATTTATTGGTCATTTGTACTTCTTTTGTGAACTAGCTCCTCAACTCATTTGTCCATTTATTAACTAGATTATTTGTTCTTTTCATGTTTAATTTCTTTAGCTCTTTAAATATTCTGGATGTTGACCTCCTGTCTGATGAATAGCTAGCAAAGATTTTCTCCCATCTTATGAGCTTTCTCTTCATTCTGGTAATTCTGATGTGCAGAATCTTTTTCATTTTATACAAACCCATTTTGTCAATTCTTGGTCTTATTTCTGGAGCAACTGGAGTCCTACTCAAAAAGTCACTCCCTTATGCCTATATCATTAATATTTTCATGAAATGCTTTCAAAACTTCAGGTCTTACATTAAGTTCTTTGATCCATTTTTAATCATTTGTATACACGTAAGAGACAGGGATCTAGTTTCAGTCCTCTACGTGTAGATATCTAGATTTCCCAACACCAACTGTTGAAAAGGCTGTCTTTTCTCCAACATGTTTTTGGCATTTTTGTCAAAAATCAGGTGGCTGTACCTGGGTAGTTTTATTTTTATTCTATTCCATTGGTGTCTATGTCTGTTTTTGTGACAAACCATGCTGTTGTTACTGTGGTTCTGTGATGGAATTTGAAGTCACGTATTGTGATAACTCCAGCATTGCTGTTTTTGCTCAGGACTGCTTTGGCTATTTGGGGACCTTTTATGCCTTCATTTGAATTTAAAGATTGATTTGTCTATATCTGTGAAGAATGATACTGAAATTCTGATAAGGAATGCATTGAAGCTGTAGACTGCCTTTGGTAGTATTTTGAGGTAGAGCCATTTTTAAAAATTTTTATTTTATTCATATGTGCATACAAGGCTTGGGTCATTTCTCCCCCATCCCCCCACCCCCTCCCTTACCCTCCTGGCCCCGTCCTCTCCCCCCTACCCCCTTGCTACCTGGCAGAAACTATTTTGCCCTTATCTCTAACTTTATTGAAGAGAGAGTATAAGCAATAATAGGAAGGAACAAGGGTTTTTGCTACTTGAGGTAAGGATAGCTATACAGGGAGTTGACTCGCATTGATTTCCTGTGCATGTGTGTTACCTTCTAAGTTAATTCTTCTTGAACTAACCTTTTCTTTAGTTTCTGGTCCCCTTCTCCTATGGCCTCAGTTGCTTTAAACTATCTGCTTTAGTTTCTCTGCGTTGAGGACAACAAATGTTATCTAGATTTTTACGTGCCTTACCTATCCTCATACCTCCCTTGTGTGCTCTCACTTTATCATGTGATCAAACCCCAATACACTTATTGTGTCTGCCCTTGATCTAATGTCCACAGATGAGGGAGAACATACGATTTTTGGTTTTTTGGGCCAGGCAAACCTCACTCAGAATGATGTTCTCCAATTCCATCCATTTACCAGCAAAGGATAACATTTCGTTCTTTTTCATGGCTGCATAAAATTCCACTGTGTATAGATACCACATTTTCTTAATCCATCAGTCAGTAGTGGGGCATCTTGGCTATTTCCATAACTTGGCTATTGTGAATAGTGCCGCAATAAACATGGGTGTGCAGGTGCCTCTGGAGTAACCTGTGTCACATTCTTTTGGGTATATCCCCAAGAGTGGTATTGCTGGATCAAATGGTAGATCAATGTTTAGCTTTTTAAGTAGCCTCCAAATTTTTCTTCCAGAGTGGTTGTACTAGTTTCCATTCCCACCAGCAGTGTAAGAAGGTTCCTTTTTCCCCACATCCTCGCCAACACCTGTTGTTAGTGGTGTTGCTAATGATGGCTATTCTAACAGGGGTGAGGTGGAATCTTAGTGTGGTTTTAATTTGCATTTCCTTTATTGCTAGAGATGGTGAGCATTTTTTCATGTGTTTTTTGGCCATTGAATTTCTTCTTTTGAGAAAGTTCTGTTTAGTTCACTTGCCCATTTCTTTATTGGTTCATTAATTTTGGGAGAATTTAGTTTTTTAAGTTCCCTATATATTCTGGTTATCAGTCCTTTGTCTGATGTGTAGCTGGCAAATATTTTCTCCCACTCTGTGGGTGGTCTCTTCAGTTTAGAGACCATTTCTTTTGTTGAGCAGAAGCTTTTTAGTTTTATGAAGTCCCATTTATCTATGCTATCTCTTAGTTGATGTGCTGCTGGGTTCCATTGAGAAAGTTCTTGCCTATACCTATTAATTCCAGAGTATTTCCTACTCTTTCCTGTACCAACTTTAGAGTTTGTGGTCTGATATTAAGATCCTTGATCCATTTTGAGTTAATATTGGTATAGGGTGATATACATGGATCTAGTTTCAGTTTTTTGCAGACTGCTAACCAGTTTTCCCAGCAGTTTTTGTTGAAGAGGCTGTCTTTTCTCCATTGTATATTTTTAGCACCTTTGTCAAAGACAAGTTGGTTATAGTTGTGTGGCTTCATATCCAGGTCCTCTATTCTGTTCCACTGGTCTTCATGTCTGTTTTTGTGCTATTGCTGTGTAATGTAGTTTTATTTTTATATTTTGGTTTTTTGTTGTTTTTTATTGCTATTGCTTTGTAATATAGTTTGAAGTCAGGTATCATGATATCTCCAGCATTGTTCTTTTGACTGAGCATTGCCTTGGCTATTTATGGCCTCTTGTGATTCCATATAAATTTAACGTTAGGTTTTTCTATCTCTTTAGTGAATGTCATCGGAATTTTGATGGGAATTGCATTAAACATGTAGATTACTTTTGGGAGTATAGACATTTTTACTATGTTGATTCTACCAATCCATGAGCATGGGAGATCTCTCCACTTTCTATAGTCTTCTTCAATCTCTTTCTTTAGAAGTTTATAGTTTTCCTTGTAGAGGTTGTTCACATCTTTTGTTATGTTTACACATAGGTATTTGATTTTTTTTGAGGCTATTGTAAATGGGATTGTTTTGATATATTCTTTCTCAGTTTGTTCATTCTTAGTGTATAGAAATGATAATGATTTTTCTATGTTGATTTTATATCCTGCTACCTTGCTATAGCTATTGATGGTGTCTAGGAGCTTTTGAGTAGAGTTTTTTGGGTCTTTAAGGTATAGGATCATATTGTCTGCAAATAGGGATATTTTGACAGTTTCTTTACCTATTTGTATTCCTTTTATTCCTTCTTCTTGCCTAATT